TAGAACCAAAGAGACTACAGGATATTTATAATCTTTTATAAAATTATTATTTTATAAATGAAGAAGCTAATGTCTGAAAGACTAAGTGATGTGGCCAAGGTCATGTAGACAAATTATTAGTATAACCATAACTGGAATCCTGTACCTCTTACTCGTAATTTGCTGTGTGTGTGTATATATGTGTGTGCTTGTACGCGCCACGCATGTGCACTGTGTTCTAAACCACTATGCCTCTTGAGGTAAAAATACCAAAATGCTTTCTATACCAGAGCTCTTTTGCTAAATCAGGAGGCAGATGATACTAGGTTGTTCCCCTGTTCCTGATGCTAAGTGTGGTCACTTGGTTAAAGTGGTGACCACTGGATTTCTACGTTGTAAAAGTAGAGTTTTTTCTTCGCAGTTAGCAAGTGGTATGTTGGCGACTTTTAAATATTCGATTCCTCAGCAATCTTTTAACTAATGGTTTTAGCATCCATTGATGATTCTTGCCTGTATCAGTTGAGTTCATAAGATATTTTCAGTAGTAATTTATCTTACAAGTTTTTCTTCTTTTCTTGTGCATTTGTATTTCTTACACTGAAAATGTTAATTGGAGTAACTTATTTGCTTTACCTTCATAAAAAATTTAAAAAATATTGGTATTACATTTGATAAAACTTTTCAGTGGAGTTTAAGATTTCATGGAACTTCTTTTTTTGAACATGTTGCAGTTAAGATTGTAAAATTAGTACTATCTTCAAAAGTTACTTGGAATAATTCTTTTTTCATTGTAGTTATGTTACCATTTGACATATAGTTAGGTTAATTTGTTTCCATTTATTTTCAATTTAGGGACTGGGTTTTTTTTTAATATGTAAATTATATGGTACAAAAGTCAAGATCGTATACCATATAATTTACTGGGCACCCCTACCCACCCCACCCCATCCAAATAGATAAGTGTTATTGGTTTCTGGTTCATGTTTCCAGTGTTTCTTTTTATGAAAATAATAAAATACTCATATATTTTTAAACCCCTGGTTTATTTAAAAAATCAGCATGCTATATACATTGTTCTATACTTTTTCGTTTTAACAGTATATCCTGGAGATCATTCCACATCAGTACTTAGAGACCTTCCTCATTCTTTTTTTAATAGCTACATAGTACTTCACTGTTTGCATGAGTTATGGTCTGTTCAACCAGTCTTCTATTAGACATTTGGAGTTTTTCCAGTCATTTGCTATTCCACTTAATGCTGCAGTGTAGAACCTTATGCATGTGTTGTTTTGTTTTGTTTTTTGTTTTTATCTTAGCGTAGATTCCTGCTAGTAAAATCACTGGGACATGTTGTAAATACTTATGTAATTTTGTTACATTTGCCAAATTCTCTTCCATAAAGATTGTAACCATAGAGGTTAGCAGTGTATGAGAAAATCTGTTTCTCCACAGGCTTGCCAAAATAGCATGTTGTCAAACTTAAGGATCTGATAGGCAGGGCAATGGTGTGTCAGGGTAGTTTTTAATCCCCTAATAAATAATTTCAAGCACTTTTCCATAAGTTTGAGAATGAATTTTCTTTCCCTTTCCATGAATTGCCCGTTCATGTCTTTTGCCTATTTCTCACTTTGGCTTTAGCCTTTTCCTCTCAATATTTAGGAGCTAGCTCTTTATGTATTTGAGAAATTAACCATTTGAGATGTAAGTTACAAATACTTTCTCCCGTTTTGTCATTTTTCTTTTGACTTAAAATTGTGGCTTTGTTTTTTGTTACCTTTTTTTTAATGTATTAAAATTTATCAAATTTATTTTTCCTTTAAAGCTTCTGGATTTTGGATCCTAGTAGAAAGGCTTTCTCCACTCCCAGGTTGTAAAGGAATTTCCATATTTTATTCTAGTACTTAATATGGTTTCATTTTACTACATTTAGATCTCTGATTCATATACCACATTTTATTCTTGTGTACTCTGGTGTATAATGTAAAGTATGAATCGAATTTAATTTTTTTCCAAATGACCATCTGCTTGCCCAACACCATTTATTAAAAACTCTAAACATTTCCCCCAGTGATTTGAGATGTCACGTTTATTATAAACCAGATTACATTTGGACCTCTTTCTGGTTTTTATATTCCGTTCCATTGATCTTTACATTACTCTTGTGCAGTATCACACATTGTTTTCAATATGTAGACTTTATAATATGTTTTAATATCTGGTAGGACTACCTTGCCTTCCCAGTTACTCCTCTTTTTGCAGGTTTTGGATATTTCTACTCGTTTATTTTTCATGTAAACTTCATATTCAACTTGTCTAGCTCTGAGAGAAAATTATTACTATTTTTATTGGTCAAAACTGATTCAAAATTGACATCTTTATGATGTCAAGTCACATTATTCAAGAACATGGACTCTGTTTCCATTTATTCAAGTCTGTTTTTTGCCTTTTAAGAGTGCTTTTTAAAAGGCTGCTTATTACAGAAAATTTCAAACATAAACATGAATAAAAAGAATAGTATAATGAACTCCAATATATTATTACCCAGCTTCAGCAATTAACAGCATTTTTCATAGCTGGGGTTCTTGACATACAAGCTGGGTATAGTTCTTGGCTATTTTTATCTGACTTCGAAAGACAGTATTGCTCTGGTTACTATTACTCAGATCAGAGATTTTTTTCCCCCTAGGTGAGCTGTATTGGTTATACAGTATATCATGTCTATGATAATTTTTTTTTTAAAGAGTAGCTATTGCTGATTTTTTAATTGTTCCAGATAGCAATTAACTAATGCTTCAGAGCATAATTTATTTCTTTTTATTGTGCTTTTGGTGAAAGTTTACAGCTCAATTTAATTTCTCATACAAAAATTTATACACGTATTGTTTTGTGACATTAGTTGCAGTCCCCACAATGTGACAGTACACTCCCGCTTTCCACCCAGGTTCCCTGTGTCCATTCGGCCAGTTACTGTCCCTTCCTTCAGACAGGAGCCATCCGTTTGGTCTCGTGTATCTGGTTGAACTAAAAAGCACACTCTTCACATGTATTATTTTTTGTTTTATAGTCCTGTCTAATCTTTGTCTGAAGAGTGGGCTTTGGGAATGGTTTCAATTCTGCATTAACAGTGCATCCAGGGGCCATAGTTTTGAGGGTTCCTCCAGTCTCTGTCTGACCGTTAAGTCTGGTCTTTTTACGTGAATTTGAGTTCTGCTCCACACTTTCCTCCCGCTCCATATGGGACTCTGTTGTGTTCCCTGTCAGGGCAGTCATTGGTGGTAGCTGGGTACCATCTAGTTCTTCTGGTCTCAGGCTGGTGGAGTCTCTGGTTCTTGTGGTCCTTTTGTCTCTTGGGCTAATATTTTCCTTGTGTCTTTGGTTTTCTTCTTTCTCCTTTGCTCCAAGTGGGATGGGACTAATTGATGGATCTTAGATGGCTGTCAGAGCATAATTTATAACAAAAACAAAAAATTTAAGACCTATTTCCTATCAAAGTGTAATTTTTACAAATATATAATGAATATATGTCAAAGATTTTAATTCAGCTCATTAATAAAGGAATCAGTACGATGGTAAAACTGGTTCTAAGTATTTGAGAAAGTTGGATTTAGATAGTCTTTTTTAAAAAAAATGTTAGAGTAACATTTCTGAGCTAGATATAAAACTGGTTAATGTCCTGTAGGTAACCTTTGGGTTATCTTTTCTATTGGACAGAAATCATTTGCGTATCTACTGGACACAAATCTACAGTTAACATGTAACTTCACAGAGTCTGAGTCCCTAATTCATAGTAAGTAGCTAAGTCAAAAATGGTTATTCACCTAAAAAGTTAAATAATCCTTGGGTCAGCCTCTTAAACCAAAGCCAGCCAACTAAAGACTGTGGGCCATGTCTGGCCTGCCACCTGTTTTTGTAACACAGCCACATTCATTTATTTACTTATTGCCTATGGCTGCTTTTGTGCTAGAATGACAGAGTTGAATAGTTTTAACAGAGACTGCTGCCCCCACAAAGTCTAACACATACATTGCTTCAGGATGATATTGGAAGGACATGTTGCCACTATCTTGGTCTTACTTCCAAATTTGGGGTAATTTTTCTTAAGAACCCAAATGAACATTGAAATGATAAAACCTGCTCTGCCCTGTATTTCTGTACATAATAAATCTCTTAGCACACCCATGCTTCCTTTCCCTGTCTGTCTTTTCACTTTATTTGTGTATATCTTTCTCTTTGGTGTAACTGCCCTTCTAGTTTTCACTATACGTTTTCCTACAGTTCTCCTTTTTCTTCCTGCTCTGTATTTCACTCTGTTTTCTTCTCCTTCTTATACTGGCAATAATATGGAATGTTAATATATTTTACATATTTATTACACTGGTAAAGTTTTATATTCTCTGTTCTCAATTTTTAATTTAGGTCAGTTTAAACTTTTATGTGTTTGCCTCAAAATAAAATCAAAATACCAATTTGAGTTACCAAAATTTCTGTGGTTTCTATTGATCTTTTCTCTGCCACTTTCCCCTCCCTCCCCATGAGTAGTAGCTTTTCATTGAAGAAAACTTCTCTGTACTGTTTTAATTAAGGTAGAGGAGTAGGAAAATCATGAAGGTAAGAGGACTTTCTTAGTCCTAAACTTTATGTATTAGAACATTTTAAAACATATTTTGATGTGTAGCTTTACGTAAGAAACCTTGAAGGACACCATAAAGTAACCCGAAAGATACAGAACAGTTAGTTTTTTAATTCACCCTTACTAAATATTGGTAATTGGATATTTGATGATACAGTCTGAGGATCATGAATAACATTGCCCAACTGGAGTCCTGTCCTATTTTCCTAAGGTTTTTTAAATTTAAACATATGTTTTTATGTTTAGAGAAGGTTACATTTAGTGTAGTTATTCAAAATAATACCTTTTTATTCTTACATCCTATGTGAAATCAGAAATAGAGCTGAATTTTAAAGATAAAGAATTTTACCACTTAATAAACGATTTTTTTTTTTTTTTTTTAATCTTTAAGATAAAGCAAAAGGAGAGAAAGAATAATACTGATACTTTATATGAAGTTGTATGCTTGGAAAGTGAATCAGAGAGAGAGAGGAGGAAAACTACAGCCAGTCCCTCAATTCGCCTGCCACAGTCTGGATCTCAGAGCTCAATGATACCTTCTCCTCCAGAAGATGATGAAGAGGAAGGTAAATTGTAGAGAGAGCTTAATTTGTATTTTGGGATGGAGGACCATGTAGACTCTTAAAATTTTATCAGGGAATTGATAATGTGTCATGGTATTTGAAATTCTTTCAATAAATACTAATGAAAATCTACTGTATACAAGGAGCTGTGGTGGATTCACAAGTGATTAACATTGGACTTTCCTCAAATACTTGTAACCAAGTTGGAAAAATTTATAATTTGTGCTTTTTTTATTTTATTTTTTTGTATCAGTCAAGTACTAGCTTGGTATATTAGCATATTTTTTAGAGCAAATTTGACACAACTTACAAAATTAATGTTCACATCTCAGTTGATTCATTTGGCAGAAACAAGTTCACTTGCCAAAATGTGTGCTTCCACGCTTGATCCTTTCACCAAACATATCTGTGTGTGTGTTTGTGTGTATATATGTGTGTATATATATGTGTGTGTGTGTGTTTATTTTTAATCTTGTTCTCACATTGGTAAACATTAAGAATCAACAAGTTTTTTCTTTCTCTTTTTTTTTTTTTTAATGGCTATTTTTTGATGTCTGTCATTCTCTGTTAAAATGTACTATAGAGAAGTGAGAAATGGAGAGAAGGGGCCCAGGAAAAGTGAAACTTAGAGAGTTATTTTCTAATTTGTAATTTAATACCAGGACTTTATTTTTTAATGGAAAAAACTTTGTAAAAGCTGATTGTGATAGAAGGTCACATGTGGTAAATTTATTATGTGAGGTTCTCAAGAAGTGTCCTGGAAATTCATAGAGGAGAATTCATTTTTCATTGTGGGGACTGTGAGGAGGCACATCATGAAAAATAGTTTTTGAGCTAGGACTTTAAAGTGCAAGGAAAATTCAGTAGGCAGATGTGCTGGTTGGGGTATTTCTGAGCAAAGAAATAACAGAGGCTCGGAGGTGGCAGGAATGACTGATTTCGCTAAAAGAAAGAAATACTCATGATTATATGTACTTTTTTCAAGTTTAGAGCAAGCACTGACTTTCCAGTTCCTATTGTTCCCTAGAACTCCGAGTTTCCCTGTGACTAATCAAGTCAGGGTCATATACTAGTAATATTGATGGCCACCAATTACTAGATGCTTAATATATGCTAGGTACTGTGCGAAGCACATTGTATATCTTATATGACAGTCCTGAAAAATAAGATTTATTATTATCCTCCACTTGCGTATAAAGGCGCAGAGTCTCAGAAGAGTGAAATAATTGCCCAAGGTTACATAGCTAGAAAATGGCAAAGTCAAGATTTGAATCCAGGTCTGTGAATCCATAGTGTGAGCTCTATTCTATTATTATCTCTGTGCATTTAATTCACATAAAGCATTTTGAAATACAGAGAAAGCAGATGTACATTTTTGGAGAAGTCAGAGATGCAGTTTAAAGATATCCTACAGAATCAATTTAAGTCAGGTATTAAAGCTGAGAAAGATGGAATTGATGGCCCTGAGATCATAGTTTGTTTCCCACTGTTTGAGATTGTCTGCTTAGTAACTAGTATTCTTGAGACTCACAGTTTCCCTTTCAGGTCACCACTTGTTAAGGCAAAATGAGTAAAAGTTTACATAACTCTCCTCCCTTAAATTCAACAATAAAATCAAAAAGAAGCAAAAATTGAGAAAGTCTATTTATAATGAAACCAGATAATGCTCAAATCTCCATACTATAGATTTTGAAGACTATCTACCATTTACAAAGAAATTTGAACCCAAGTAACTGATAAAATTAGGACTGATAACTAGCTCCTCTAATCTGTAGGCATAGATTTTTTAAAATTTAAGTGAGGTGGTTCATAAGACCTCTACTGACAGTCCTTAACTAGGGAGAGATGAGGACTAGTAGCAACGGATATTCCATGGGAGAATCAAGGAGCACTGGAACACACCTCTAAAAGAAGAGAGTGTGGTTTTGCCCCACATTGTTTCCCTAGTGTATAGCACAATACCTCGTATCTAGTAGGTGCTCAGTAAATGTTGCTGGATGGTTGTTAATCCTCCTAGGGTCCAGTTCCATAGTGAAGAGGTAATGGCAGGAGAATGGGACTGAAAGAGGGACTGTGTAGCCTGCCATCTTTTAATACTCTAAAATCTAGTGTTCAAACCTGGAAAACCTATCCCAGTGGGATCTGTTTCCTCCCTGGGAAGAAATGGCTACAATCCTATAGAGAAGCTTCTTACTCGTGGGACATCTGTGCCAACGGTAGAGATGGGAAGTGTTTAGAAGCAACATTCTAAAACTAAGACTCCTGCTTCTACCCCTGCCTTAAGCAGATCAGGTTCTAAAGAGATTTCAAACTACTTAGCCAGATTTGTGAAAGCATTTAAAACAGTAAAAGGGAATTTTATAAGATAGGTCTTCCTAATCTTTTTGAAGGAAGTACCATCCTTTCTAAATCATAGTACATTTTATAGCCTTCTTTCTCCCAAAGAGTTGTATGTGATATGTTGATATTTTAATGAGAAAAGAGTGACTTCAGGGATTAGAAACGAGGGCCAGTTCTGACAAGATAGTGAAGTTAGAGAAGTTCATCTTAGTGCCCTTGAACCTTTGTCTTTACCCTGTTACTCCATACACAGAGTATTTCTCGGTTACACTCAGTCCATCCTCTTCCCTGTATCACGGTCAAAACTGATGATAATGTCCAAGGCATTATAATGTGGAGAAGTTTAATAATAAGTATCATGGCTTTCTTAGCCTTTAAAATCAGTGCTGTCAGATGATTACTATCTCTAGTAGGGATATACATTCATGAATGTAATCATCAGAGGGTCTAGACTTTATTTAGGCAGGTTGAGAAATCAAAAATAATCAAAAACTAGAAAGTATTGGTGAGGGCACATGGAAGCAGATACTCTTGTACAGTTAGTAGATATATAAATTGGTAAAGTCTTTTTGGAAGGCAGTTTGTCAGTAAGTTTCAAAAGCCTGTAAAGTATACTTTTTTTTTTTTTTTTAAACCCAAGAAGTCCACTTCTGGGCATATACCCAATTGAAGTGATGACATATGTTTGCAAAAATGTCACTACAAGGGTGTAAAGATGTTCATACCCATATTGTTTGTAGAAAAACCTTAAACACTTCCTGAGTGTCCAACAAAAGGGAAGATGTCTTAGTCTGTATTCTTTTTTCTTTCCACTTTAATTACGCTTTTCAATCCCTTTCACCTCCCTTTATCAATTTTACATTTTTGACTTTTTTGACATCTTATAATCTTCAAATTCTTTGAATTCACTTTTCTTTAATTACTTGAATTAAGTTTGAAATAATTCATTTTGGTCCTTTTTAGTGTTTTTGTGCTTTTTATTATAAATTATGTATGCCATTATGAAAAATCTAGAAAGTCATAAAAACATAAAGGAGGAGAGAAAAAAAATTAATCATACCTCCATCACTTGGAAGCAGTAATTGTTAATATCTTAACCTAGTTGCTTCCAATCTGTTTTCTATTTTATAACAAAGAGTAGATCAAAATGTAGATTCAGCTCTTGATATTTTTATTTTACACATGATATTTTGCCGTATTATTTTATAAACATGTTAGCATGCATTACATTGCATGCATGTGTCATAATTTATTCAGCAGTTCTCTTGTTGGACGCTGAGGTGATTTGTAATTTATTTTAGCTGTTACACATAAGACTTCTATATATTTTCACACATAAAGCTGTTTGCTTTGGAAAAGGAGAGAGAACATGCCATATTTTGAATCCAGTAAGTTCATAATTAAATGGCTCTTTTCTGCGTTTGACATAACATGGACCTGTATAGAAAGCAAAAGAGAACTGGAGAGATTACAACAATATTCGATGTAGGACCATTTTTATTTTCTTTGTATAAATACCTGTATATTAAGAGAAGTTATGGCTTTATGCTCCCAGTCAAGTTATTCAAATTTGACTCTTACATTCCCGTATCATTCTTCTAGCTTAGCATAGCCACCTGTTATCCTCTTTTGTGTGTTTTGTTTACTAAAGATAATGATGAACCTCTTTTGAGTGGATCTGGTGATGTATCCAAAGAATGTGCAGAAAAAATTCTTGAAACCTGGGGAGAACTGCTGTCAAAATGGTAAGTTATAATAGAATATAATTTCTCCTTTTCATCTACAAATTTCATCTTGTAAGCAGGGACTCTTACTAACCATAATAGAACCAGTAATAGAAACCTAAGTATGAGGTTCACAATCTAGGGTGTTTCTGTTTTTTGAGGTTCATAGTTGTGGTACTGGAGAACTGAAATCAGTTTTCAGAATATCAGAAACCGTGCAAAACCTAATAAATTCTCATTGCTGGAGAAAGTATCCAAATGTGGAATTCATGGAGGGAATAAATAAGAAAAGAGGTCCTTCATATTGAAGAGGAGTTCCTTGGTGGCACAGTTAAGCACTTGGCTGCTAATAGAAAGGTTGGCGGTTCGAGTTTACCCAGAGACTCCTCAGAATAAAAGCCTGGTAATCTACTTCCGAAAAATCAGCCATTGAAAACCCTATAGAGCACAGTTCTCCTCTGACACACGAGATCACCGTGAGTCGGAATCAACTCGACAGCAGCTGGTTTTGGGTTTTATATTGAAGAGGTTAGGAACCACTGACTGCCCAGTGTTAAGACAATAGAGAATAATCAGAGAAGTTTAAAGGATGTTCTCATAATACATAGGACTACAGTAGAGACATCATGCAGTGTTTCTCCTTATCTGCATTTATGTACCTAGAGTGACAGAGCAGAGTTTCACAAGCACAGTATAAATTACTGGTTGTACCAGTTGTTTTTCCTGCTAACACTTGTAAAATTCAGCAGTTTCTATCAGCTCAGAGACGGTTTGACAATAATGTTAAGAAGCACTGTACTATTGGCTGTATAAAAAGAATACACTATCGTCAGTATTTGTTAATGTAACCAGAGACACTCTGGTAAGACACATTGGTGAGACATTTATATAGTTTCCCTTCCTCCCTGTAAAGGATGCCAGTATATGCTGAAAAAAGCTGAGCTTGAAAGTGATCTGAACATGCCTCTATTTCTGACTTTCTGGTTATTAGGGTTGTGATATAAACTCCCCATGGGCCTGTTACTTTGGGGTTTGATTTTCCTCTGAAGTTTGAACTGTTGAATCCTTTCACTCTATTCTTAATAAAACTGTGTCTCAGCAATTTACAAGATTCTTTCATGCCCATAAGGGATAAGACTACAAGTGGACTTTATCTGCTTCTAGCACTCTCACAACGCTTTACACTCTTGACAAAACACTCTCCACATTGGAAAATGTCAAATGTGTACAGGAGAAGAAAGCAATCCAAGCATGGTTTGTCTCTCCACAAGTGATTTTAATAAATGAATTCTGCAAAGGCCCCCAGGGGAGTAGTTCTCATATATTTTAATATTTCTTTAGCAATCAGGAGACAAACCTGCTGATGCTCTGGTCACAGTTATATTTGCAGATCAGTGAATTTGTAGTGTTTGGGCTGCTGCTGACAGGAATTTTATCTTAATAAAATGGTTTCTGCTTTAAAACAGAAATGTAATTGAGCCTTGACACGCTTACATAACAGCATATTAATAATCATTTAGCTAAAGCATTTAGACTCTAGAATTAAATTTTTTTAGATTAACCAACCAGCATTTTATGCAGTGACTTGGAATTTGTTTTTTCAGTTCGTTATTCACTTAATTAAGTCATGTCCTCCCACTCCCTCAAATACATTAACTGGGTTTCCGTCTCTCTTAATTGTCTTCAGGGGGTTTCAAACTGTTTTCTGATGGTTTTAGTCATGTCTTCAGATGATATTATAATCTCTCTTTTTCAGTTTATTTCATCACTTTTTTTTTCATCATTATTATATGTGTTCTGTAGATAGGAAGCATTGCAATATCATGGCATTTTAAAACCTGGTAGACCTGGCTTCAAATTCTGTCTCTACTGTTTCTCTGCTTTATGGTGTCGAGCAAATCCCTTAACTCTTCTGAGTCTGTTTGTTCATATAGAAAATAGATGTCACAGTTGTAGTGATAGTAGTAAGAACTCATGAATTACCGTATGCCAGTCACTGCCCTAAAGTTAAGTACACTGTCTCAACTACAGTGATCTTATGAGCTGGCATCCATTTTACAGATGAGAAAACTGGTCAGAGGTTAAATGAGCCATTCTAGTTAGTAAATGACAGAGCCAGTATTTTTAACCTAGTCAAATCTGATCCCGAAGCTGGTATCCTTTTTTTTTTTTTTAATTGTTGTAGTTTAGATGAGGTTTACATTTCAAGTTAGTCTCCCATACAAAAATTTATACATACATTGTTAATGTGACCCTAATTGCTCTCCCCATACTGTGACAGCACACTCCTCTTTTCCACCCCTGATTCCCCATGTCCATTCAACCAGCTCCTAACCCTCTCTGCCTTCCCATCTTACCTCGGGATAGAAGCTGCCCATTTAGTCTCATGTATCTACTTGAACTAAGAGGCACACTCTCCATGAGTATCCCTTTATGTCCCACAGTCTAGTCCAATCCCTGTCTGAAGAGGTGGCATCAGAAATTGTTTTAGTTCTGGGCTGATAGAGAATCCGGGGACCATGCTTTCCAGGGTTCCTCCAGTCTCGTTCAGACCCTTAAGTCTGGTCTTCTTACTAGAATTTTAGTTCTCCACCCCACCTTTCTCCTGCTCCATCCAGGACTCTCTATTGTGTTCCCTGTCAGGGCAGTGATTGGTGGTAGCCGGGCACCATCTAGTTCTTCTGGTCTCAGGCTGATGAAGTCTTTGGTTTATGTGGCCCTTTCTGTCTTTTGAGCCAATACTTTCCTTGTGACTTTGGTGTTCTTCACCAAAGCTGGTATTCTTAACTCTACATTAGATTTTAGCGGCCATATCAGTAACAGTATCATTGAGCTCTAATTCTCCAAGTTTGTGTGACTCTTCTTAGAGTATGACAGAATTAATATTATGTAGTTCTTCTGAATATAATTTTACCAACATAAACAAGCTAAGAGTTGGCAAGTTTTTCTGAAAAGTTTTAAATAGTAAATATTTTAGGCTTTGCGGGCCAGTAGTCTCTGTCGCAGCCACTCGATTCTGCTATTATAGTGCAACAGCAACGATAGACAGTAAACACAAGCATGCCTGTATTTCAGTAAGTTTATTTACAAAAATAGGTGGTGTGCCAGATTTGACCCACAGGTAATAGTTTGCTAACCTGTGAATTAAGTAACAGAAATACTTTTGTTCTTTCTGCTCCCAACTCTAACTTACATGTATGCGTTTTTTCTAAGCAAAGACAAAACTGTATTGAATTGTATATAGCTCTGCCATCAGGGTACGAGCATCACAAAATTATTCATTTTTAAATGTATTTTGAATTATTCTCCTAGAAATCTGGAGAGATTTTGAGAAAAGTCTTGGACCTTTTATAATTTGATAGTGGTCATTTGGTATCAGTAACTTCTGCTTAAATCTGATAGTCACAGGAGCTTTTCCATTTCAGGATTCTACTTTATTAATTCAATAATGGTGGCTCTCAAATCTTAAAACAACTGTCATATAACAGATGGTGTATTCATTTGTCTTCAAGTTTAAAGACTACTTCAGTCATTTAATTAACATTCATAAACTTCACTCCATCTGTAAAACTGGAAATACTACCACCTACCTCAGACGATTATGGTGAGGATCAAATGAGATATTGTAATGCAAAAGCATTTTGTAAATTTATACCAGCATTGCAAGATAAGATTTATTTTCCCCATTTATAGATGAGATAAATGAAGCTCAAAGACTTTAGTAACTTGTTTTGATGTTATAGTAGTACAATAGAAACTTTCTTACCCACTGCATTCATTCAGAAAAGTCAATTGAAGTATCACTGAAAATGCTTAAAACAGACCTCAATATTGTATTTTAACTTAGAACATATGTATACTTAACTCATTTGTCAATTTTGATGTAGGGCCAAGCCTTTGCATTTGATGATGTATCCACTGATTGGCATTTGATTTGTATTTCCTACATAAACTGCAGCCGTATGGTTTGGTTCCTATAGTGTGCAGTGTTGCTTTTTCTTTTTTCTTTTTTTTTTTTTAAGTAGAACAGTGATTTAAAGATACTCAGGAAGCAGATTGACTACAGAATCCGTGTAGATTTTTACTGTTTAGTTGCTGTCAAGTTAGTTGCCATCGATTCCATCTCATGGCGACGCCATGTGTACAGAGTAGAACTGCTCTATGGGGTTTTCAAGGCTGTGAACTTTTGGAAGCAGATCACCAGCCCTGTCTTCCGAAGCACCTTTGGTTGGGTTTGAACCGCCAACCTTTCAGTGAGTAGTCCAGCGCTTAACAGTTTGCACCACCCAGGGACTCTATAACTATCTTGACTGCATCTAATCCACTGTTGTCATTGTTAGGTGCCGTCAAGTTGGTTCTGACTCGTAGCGACTCTACAGGACAGAGTAGAACTGCCCCATATGGTTTCCAGGGAGCGGCTGGTGGGTTTGCACTGCCGGCCTTTTCGTTAGCAGCCAAGCTCCCAACCACTACACCACCCGAGCTCCTCTAATCCACTAGCACTTTCTTTCTCTTTATTAGTGTGTCACTTTATCAAGTCTTTCTAAGCCATTTAGTTTAGTTTTCATAAAAATAACACTTCAGAGAATCTTTCTTTTATGTATTTAAGGGCTTTGGCTTTATTTTCAGGCATCTCAATTTAAGCGTGAGACCAAAGCAGTTGTCATCTTTAGTAAGAAGCGGTGTCCCTGAAGCTCTTCGAGGAGAAGTCTGGCAGCTGCTAGCAGGCTGTCACAACAATGACCACCTGGTAGAAAAATACCGAATTCTCATCACAAAGGTAAGGGAATAATAAATCAGTTTTACCATGAATACTTTTAGAGATTTATAATGAAAATATTGGTGTGGTTATTTGATTTTCAAGAGTTTTTTATAATTGTTTTTCTAATGTAATAATAGAACTGTTATACTTTGGGTCCAGTGTTGTTTTTAGCATTGGCACAAAGGAGAAGGCATAAGGCTTTCTTCCTTTTACAGCTTCACTGCAAAGGCAAAGGATGTCCTCTAGCCCATTGTGTATCTAAAGTCTTCTTGGCCGTAATTACATTTTTTGTCAGATTAAATTGTGCTATGTGATGTATAAAACCTCTCTTTTGTTTATTTTGATCCATTTCACATTTTACAGAAGTATGGTCTTGGTAGGGAAGGCCTAGTTCTAGTTTCTGCAACTGGAAGAAAATGATTCTGTAATCCTAAACCAATTCTCTTTTAGTCTCTTCCTCTAAAGTGAAAAATGCTCATTTTTACAGTATCCCTCTCTCAAGTTCACACATTCCTCAAGAATTTGCAAGTGAATCAATAAAAACTGTTTCTTGTACAAGCATCCAAGGATTTAAACTAGTTTTCTGCAGGTTGTAGGCAATGCTTTGTGCCTTTGTGCCCATGTTACTGGTTTTTGTTTTTTCAATATTCTTTTTTTTTTTTTTGGTGGTGGTGGTAAATACATAAGTAACAAAACATTTGCCATTTTAACAGTCTTCACATGTACAATTCAGTGACATTATGTTTATCATGTTGTTGAGCTATCACCATTATCCATTTCCAGATATTTCCATCACTCTTTACAGAAGCTCAGTGTCCCCTAAGCAATGAGTCCCCCCTTTCCCCTCCCTCCTACCCACCACTGGTAACCACTAATGAACTTTGGTCTCTATACATTTGTCTATTCTAGATATTTTATGTAAGTGGTATCATATAACCTTTGTCCTTTTGTGACTGACTTATTTCATTCAGCTTAATGCTTTCAAGGTTCATCCATGAACATGTATCAGGACTTCATTTCTCTTTATGGCTGAGTAATACTCCATTGTATGTATATACCATATTTTATCTATTCATCAGTTGATAGACATTTAATTTGTTTGCACCTTTTAGCTGTTTTTGAATAGTACTGCAGTGAGCATTGGTGTATATTTCCAACATTCTTGAAGTGTTTATCCTTAGGAAGCAGTTTCTCCAGTGGTATGCAAATCCCAAACCTGGATTATGAATGGATTAGTCAGAACCCTTAGTAATGTTTGAGATTTTCAAGGTGATAAAAAGGTGGAACTTCTTTAAGAAATGTTAAAACCTAGTAGAAGATGAATAGTATCTCTATAAAACTGTTACTAAAAAACACCTTATAGGGGAGGAACAGTGTTTGACCATGAAATGGAACCTTTCCTCATAGAAAATGATTATTTGCTTTAGATATTAGTATTCCTTCTGATCGTCTTATTTCCAGATATTATTTTTGATTGTTTTAAGAAGTAATATTCTGAATCCCTCCAGGTTGTTGATGTAATTGTTTAACCAGCGTTTATTGATTGCCCACTATAATAACAGCTATAATGCTGGAACTAGGAGGCCAAATACAAAAACAGTTAACTGTCATGATAGAATGTGTCTGAAACAGCACAGTAGGAGCCATAAAACGAAGTGGTTGATTCTGCCTGGGAAACAGGTGACTCTTTACCAGGAATATAACATTTGAGATGGATTCCAGAAAAGAGCTCCCCAGGCATGTAAGGATGGGAAAAGCATTATAGTCGTAGTATGAACAGAGGCATCCAAGAGTGAGACTGTGTAACACATATAGTTAGCAAGGGTACACTTAGTTGATTATTTTCTTTTGTTGGCAACTCATATTTGGGATGTGTAATTCTTAGTTGTAATGTTGTCTTTCTCATTCCTCTTTTGAAGTTCTTTGAAATGTTTGACCAAAAATGATTCAAGAGTTTAGAGCTTTAAACTAAATATTTTGGTGGCTATTCATACAGATAATTTAAAGAGGTAGAGTCTCTGTGTTTGATTGTATTCTACTTTTCTGGTGCCGTGAAAATGCTGACATCTGCTTCTAGAATAGGAACTCAGTAGTCATATGATGTGTAAAAGATTAGCTGTGAACAAAATCTAGTATGTTTGATTAATTTTTTACATATGCTGGTGTCATGTTCTTTATATTTCACATTAAGCTTTTATTATTATGCAAATGTTTAATACTTAGAGTTTTTTTTTTTTATGGATATATATTACTTTAAAGTGCTGACCAGTAATAATTGGTGTTTTTGTTTTTACTACAGTTTTACCCACTATAAGTCAGTATTTCTTTTCTTTTCTGTTTTCCTAGAAATAATAGCTACAGTTGTATGGGAATGGTAATTGATACTTTTCAACTTACTCTAAAATTTTTTTGAGGGCAAAACTGCATTTTTTATGTTTTAGATTTATTTTTCAGTGAACTGTATTTTACGTAGGGTAAAATAAACAACCTTTAAGTGTACAGCTTGATGACATTTTACATATAAATATATCACTGCAACCACCACTGAGTAAGAACATATCCATCACCCCAGAAAGTTGTCTCTTGTCCCTTTCTAGTCATAACCATCCCTCTTCCACCCCAGGGTAACTGCTGTTCTTACTTCTTTCTCCATAACTAATTAGTTTTAATTTTTCTTGAACTTCATTTAAATGGATTTATACAGTGTACACTTGTTGGCATCTGACTATTTTTGCTCATTTATTTTAGGTGTATACCCCCCCAAAAAAAAAAAAATTTCTGTTGAGTTGATTCCAACTCATAATGACTCGATAGGACAGAGTAGAACTGCCCCATAGGGTTTCCAAGGAGCAACTGGTGAATTCACACTGCCAACCTTTCGGTTAGCAGCCAAACTCTTAACCACTGCGTGGTAGTTTTTTTTTTTTTTTTTTTTTTTAATTG